CACCCATATTTTTTAGAGTGTAGCTATTAAGTATATTGCATATCCGTGATCGCTTGAATTTCAATTTCCGCGGACGTTTACATGTTTCGGATTCAGTCCCACAAGATTTGGCGAAATTTTACCGGTTGATGTCCACATGGCAGACAAATATTTTCGACGTTCGATCCGGCGCGGCGACGTAAAATTAAACCCTAAATAATACATAACAAAGAGCGAAGGCGTAAAGGGAACGTAGGCGGCAAGTCGTGAATTATTTCGTGCGCCGCCGACCCAACCGCTGCTGCTCCTCGATATTTCTCGAGATCCGAACGCGCCGCATCCAGTTACGGATGGCCGCTCGTCGCCAGTCCAGGATCGATCACGCGGTCTTGCACGGCGTGTTCTACATGCATATTTCGTTACCTATTCCCTTGGTTGGATCTCGCTCGCGCGTTAAGTTACGCCGCTCACGTCGCCCTGGCCATTCCTCCTCCAAATCCTCGCTCGCCCTGCTGGGAACGTCGGATCCAGGACAGTATCCATTCTTTATCCCTCGTTCCAGCGCCATCCGAGGCCGTCTTATTTCGCCGGTTACGTTCGCCGCGGCAAAGCCGACTCCAATTACATCCGGGATACAGGAATCCCACCTCGTGCTTGTTCGGCCGAGCAATTGAAAAATAATAGAAGCTCTACTGGACAGGTCGTCCCTATGCAGCCTCTTCCTTCGTTTCTTCTTCTCTTCTTTTTTTTTCCTCTCTTCTCTCTCGTCCCTTTTACTGACGGAATTCCCTGTGGGAACGAGCAGGATACGCGAGGAAAGATACAAGTCTGTGGGGGCGATAAGCGACCTGAGAAAGAACCAGAAGCGAAACGAGATACGCTCTACTGAGAGCGGTTAAACGGTTAATCGACGTCGGTGGAGGCGTCGATTAATCAAAAGCGCCACGAACCACGAACGGCAGGTGTCGTCTCGATTTACAAATGGTCCTCCGCTTATTTCAACGATAAGCGAATCCTTATTGGATGGTTGAGCTATTCCGCAAGGATCTAGCAGGATCGATTATCCAGCACCTGACATCCGAGTGGAGGAGGAAGCGAGAAGATTTCGCGGTTAAGAAAAAATAAAAACACCTAATCCTCAGTGGTTTTCGTTCAATATCCCACGAGAAACAGGCTTGCTTTCGAAACAGATCCATCTTAATTTTATTATACGCTCGGAAAGTGAAAAACAAAACTCTTTCGCAATATACATGAACAATCTTCACTGAAAGTCTTCACATTGATGTTCGAATATACATTATTTGAATATTATTAATGAATAATTCTTTGTTTCACAGCGCAAGATCAGTTTCTGCTTGATCTATAACAGATCTTTTTTGTGATGCTAAAGAAAGAATCTTTAGAGGACCTACTAAAGTTTTTGTTATTAATTTTATTTTCTTTGAACTTTTAATTACCTTTTCAGTACGGCACACTCGACTTTTTTCCCAATGCTTTTCCAATACTTTTCCATTATTCATAACTTTTTTATTAATAAAATAAATATATTATAATTTACATATTTATGATGTCATTATGTTCCTTAATGTCTAGCGTTTCGATTCAAAAAATTGTTTACAATATAATTATTTTTATGAAAGTTATAAGCAATAAAATTGAGTTGGCTATATTATATCTAAGTGTACTGTTTTCATAATGTGGCATTTAAAAAAAAATTGCTTATTTCAACTTAGCGTAAATATTATAGTACAATAATTAGTCGATATGAATAGAACAAAATAGTAAAAAATAAAATTGTGAAACATAAAATTATTCCAAATCATTAAACTATTCAAAACTTAGAAGAATGTCCCAGCGTCACCAAGATCAATATATTCCAGTTAGGAGTTAAATGTTTCACAGATCCGTTAAATTTGCTAAATGTCAACAGTTATCCGTCTGTCTCGTTTATGAATATTTTATATGCGGTACAAATTGATCTATAAAATGCATAGTATAAAAAAATCTACTTATGTCATGTATAAGTTTCACCGTTAAGAATCACTAAAAAAAATCTTGCTTGATTTCAAGAACGCTAAGAAATATCTCACCGATACAAGTTGGTTACGTAATGCAACGAGAACGCCCGAAAGATTCGATAAACGTGAACAAACAGCGGAGATCCCGATCGTATCGCTGCAAAGCGTCTCGAATACGTCACACACAGCATACATCTCCGGATCTCGGGATTTGCGAATCTCACGATCGAGGTTCGTGCGTATGACCCGAGAGGAGAGACCGAGGGTGAAAGAAAAAATGACAGGGTGGATGGAAGTAGAGGTAAAAGGATGAAGAAGCTTCCGCAGAGGACTCGTGATCCCTGTCGACGAAGCAAACGGACATCCTCGCACCCCGCAAGATATATTTTCTATTTCTCGCGGTGAACGTGCGTCGCATTTGTCGCACGGATGACGAAAGAAAGTATGAAAATCTTGCCGACGACGCGACGTTATATTTGTTTTCTTATCGATGAATGACGGTAGGGCATGAATATACTGATTGTAAGAGAAAAGTGTTCAGTATTTTTATAACTGATATATTGTATAATGGCACGAAAAATTAATTATAATTAGAAGCTCCGTCTTTATTGTTATTACTATATAAATATAATTATACTGTTAGAAATGTTTCTTAAATTTTATTAACTTTTAAGTTACACAATTTAGATTTAATTTCATTACATTAATGACATTACATTAAATTTCATGTATTTATAACTTAAAAAATATATTTGTGTACATGTACATAAAATTTTATGTATTTTCCAAGAAAATTTATGAAATTTAATGTACACGTTCATTTCTCATTTAAGTAACTACTGTAAGTTAATTTTCAGTTAAATCATTCATTACTTTTATCAATTTCATTCATAATCACGAGCTTCATTTACATGTAAAGGAAACTCGTGTTTATATTTCTAACAGTGTATTATTATGCTAATAATAATAATTATATTTACAGTTCTTAAACACAAAAAATATACACAATTGATTCCCGAAAGTTACTGTAATTTATAGTTGTTTTCAGAGACATATATTTTTTATGTAAAACTATAAATTATTATTACTAACATCATTGCAGTATAATAATTGTAAAATAAAACTCTTTTTTTGTCATAAATAATTGTAGCTACAAATACCAAACACTTTTATAATTATTTTAATCAAAAATAATAAATATCACAAATACCAAACATTTTCCTCTTAGAGTATAAAATAGGGAATAGAATAAAGGGAGAATTGATGAATGATAATTTTTTTCCACAGCCTCGTTTCACTATCGGAAAGCTCGATTTCCGCGCGACCAAAAGCTCATTCACTATTGACCTTCTACGCAGAATACCAGTGACAAATCATTAAATTGTCACTCAGGTTGGTTAATCCGTTATGCGAAAAGATGGAAGTTTGCTTTAGTTTAAAGATCTCGCTATTCGTGACGTAAACGACGCGGTAGTCGACAAGGGATGGCAGCTATTAAACGTTAATTATACCACGAAATTTACTTAGAAATATGACGAAAGAGGATGGGAGAAGTTGACGGAAGGAACTGAAGAGCTCTTCGAGATGAGAACGAGAGAGAGAAGAGTGGGGACAAGAGAAGGTTCGAACAGAGAAAGATAGATGAAGAAGCGGGACGGGGAGTTGAAGGCAGAATGCTGGAAACTACCCCGGAAACTAACTCAAGGGTTTAAGGAGAGCGGGGTCTCGGTTGCTAGAGACGGCCGAAGTTTGCCCCTTGATTAGACATTTATGGCAGGGAGTTGTAAACGAGCGTTACAGACATTAATTAGCATTTATTATTCATCATAGCGTTTGCCACATTCAATCAGCGCAAATCGACCAGGGAACTATTTGAGATGATTCGTTAATTCAGATTCACGCGATCTATATGCTTATTTTTTTATAATTATACATGGAAAACGATTTTGTTAAAGTATTTAAAAATTTAGCTTAAGATCTAGATTTAAAAATAATTTTGTTTAACCCAGCAAAGTATATATGTGTAGGAAACTCAAATTGGTTCCCAGAATATCAAAACTTTTTATCGCATTGTTATCAATACTTAAGTGTTTTACATAATTATTTTGATGTTTCAACAAAATTATTTTCAGATCTGTATCTGTCTAAATTTTTAGATACTTCAACAAAACAAAACCATTCTTTTTACATATAGCTCATTAACGTTAGCCTTCAATGTTATCATACATACGTCTTGACGTGCAAATGAGCGAGGTTATTGAGTGTTTGAATTTGATAGTGTAGTTATTTTTCCTTTTAATATTTAGATTGTATTTATAAAGCTTTAAATTATAAATATGTTATCACTAATGTCCGTTTCTACTAATATAATTTAATTTTAATCTACGTTCAATTAATTCTTCATGTTTTTCTAGTTTTAAGAAATACAAAAAAATTTGAAGAGTAAGTTGAATCGAGATTAAAATTAATCTACGTAATTGATAGAAACAAGCATAAAAATGTGAAATGTATGAAAAACTTGTGTTACATTAATTAAAAGCAATTATTTCCTCGTAAAATTTACATATAGCACTATTATATCACACAATATAGATAGAATTCTAGAGTTAATCCTTTATCTTCTTGCCCTTATTCATGCTGAATCCAAGATCATCATTGTTACGTTGATAGAAATTATCTGATAATTTACTATTCGTTGAGTAACTCATTCGAAGAGACTATTAGTGCAATTTATACCATTCTATTCTTATTTTACGTCTAATGAGTAAAAATAGAATGACGCAAATAGCGCTAATAATAATAATAATAATAATAATAATAATAATAATAACAACTGTATTGAGATGCAATACCAAGGAAAAATATATATAATGAGCATAGATATAATAGCATCTTCCGAAACGCACCCACCATATTATCCGACTCAAACGTTCAATTCAGCCCTGAATATATTCCATTCTAGTCGCAACAAGGAAGTGCGCAACAATAGATATATATAATTACGCGAAATGTGGCGTTCTCTGCGGTCTCCAGAATCGGCATACCATCGAGCGTGTACCGTACTCGTCCATCCGTCTGTCCTGCGGCACAATGCACTTTGACAAACTTTGTGGCCAGCTTCGTGGACCGCGGAAACTGCACGGGTATCATCGATGTGCGGCCATAAAACTGATCCATTACAGACGCAGCCGGTATGGTTACGTGGCCATAACCGCCGCCTGACAACAAAGCCTCTCGTTCCTCTTCTCTTTCCGCCCTAAAAGCAGCCTTTACAATGCGACGAGCTTAATTGGTTTGACAGCCGTTATGGGCACTTTCATACTTGACCCTCTCCTGGACGCCGAGTGGCGCGCGTACTTCGCCCTCTCCGGTTACAACCCCCTTGTTCACCCACAGATCGTGCATCGGAGATGAACCGCGCGTTTTACCATTTCAGTCCGTTCGCGTTTCGTATATAGCTGCGCGTGATAAAACACAAACGTAAAGAACGGTTTTTACACTCGCGGGTCGAGAAACAGGCAAACAGCGATAAAATCCGCAATATATTCGAACGTTTCGAGCACTCGCTTGAATTTTAATGCGTTTAATACGCATGACGTCGCCTTCGCATATTCCGCGATACCACGGTTGGCTGCAGAGGCACCGTATAAACAAGAGTCCAAGTGGAAACATCGTCCCGCGTCGCGTCGTGTCCGTTGATGTCATAAATGCACTTCGAGGCATTGTTACAGTTGAGGGACGAGAGATCGGTTCACGCGGGTCGTCATGCGATCGTACAATACCGCACTGAGAGAAAGGATTTTGTTAATTTAGCAAGTCAGTATCTTTAACCGGTGAATGGTAAATATGTGTGACAACAAATTTTGTTGTTGTGGTGTTTGTTGCTAGTCTGCTATACCAACCAATTATTAGTAATAGAAGCAAACTATATAGAATCTAATCTATCTTTTGGATAGACTTTAGGCTCATTTATTATTACATAGAATTCGTAGATGATCGTGGAGTCTTAAATCGTAGGAAACCGATCAAACACAGTTCATTGTGACAGTGATCATTGTCCATATATCTATTTTAGAATTTAATCTTAGGATAAGAAAGCGTTAGAAATACGACCTTTTCTTTATTTTTCTTATGTTTCGTTTTTTTTTTGTGAGCCTTGTACATTTACTTATGGACAAAGGTCCTTTAGGATAAGAATAAAAATAAGACTTTCTAAAAACGGAAGGTATCCGTTTAACAACTCAATAACTCGAATTTTCCAGAAGCATTTCCGAAGCCTTAAAATAGAGAGCTTTGGACTAAGTTAGTCAGTCCATTGAGTCCTGCGAGACCGGTCGCATCTAGAAATGAAAATTGTTGCGAATTGATAAAGTGAATTTTGTACAAAAATCAAAAATAAAGAGTTTTTTTTTTTTTTTTGAAGATGATTATTGCGAATCTTACACAGTCAAATGTAGGGAGAATACTTGACTAGAATTGGTGAATTTCTTACGATTTGGAATCCTGCAATCGTCTACGACTTATATACACATATGAGCCTCTTATTTGCTGGCAATGTTATTGATTATTTGTTACATTGACGAATTAATTTGCAATTTCGTAACAAATCGATCGGTTTTTTAACAAATATCACATTTGCTTTCCCATGATTTGTTCCTATAATAAAATCATTTCTCTCAGTGCGTGAAGATTACACGCGTGCATCCACGCATGCATGTAAAATCCCAATCCTTGTCCACCATCCGAGCGCTTTTCTCCGCTTTTTATCGCTTCCCAACCTGCATAAATCGGGGGCGCGCGCGCGTGTGTCGCACGATGCGGTATTTCTAGGAGAACGTTAATTAATAATTTAATCGAAGAGCCTGTTTCTCAGTCCTGCAGTCCTGGGTACGTGCTGCAGGCTCTCTAATTAAAACCGACCTGGCGCACTCGAGCGTACACGCACGCGTATACGAAGGAACGCACACCGACTCTCCGAGCTTACAGCTCTTCGGCACCGAGGAAAATAGGAGAATCACGATGTCCACTCTCGTGGCTAAGAGGCGAGATCCGTCGGTGCATTAAATGCATACCATGCGCGAAAATCTTCCCGTCTTGCGTGTCTCGCTTTATTTTAATCCCCGTTTTATATATATATATATATATATATACGATGCTCCCGAAATGCGTGAGATGAGTGCGATGTTATTTATCTTCCGTTTCGTTTCTGCGAGGACTTTGTCCTCGGAATGCCGGTGGAAACTCCGTGGTGGAATGCACACGGGGCCGTTGATTCGTCGAGAAATCTCTGACGTGCAACGAAAATCGGGAGACTGATTGATGGACGTATTACAAGAGAGAAGTGAAGAGTCTCACGGCTGTCGACGTCTTGCTGACGCGTTGAACGTGAAACACCTTTTTCGAACTTTTGAATATTTAACATACTGTTACATCAAAGCGGCGATAATGAGTCTGCATGATAAATATAACGTAAACTGTATTACGAATGTATAATGAGCGGTAATAATAATAAGTATTGAAAATTTAATAGCCAGCGTTCGCGCGAACGTGTCTGTAATGAATATTGTAAATTCGCGTAATATAATTTTGCTCAATTTATAAGTCATATAATATGTAACAGTTTTTCATAACGCTACTAATGACGCGATAATGTAATAGGTACGTTTTATCGAATTGTTAATGGTATTAGTTTTAACGTAGAAAAGGATAAACATAGGAAAATCGATTTTGCTGAAATATCCAAAAATTTAAGTAAAAAATAATTTTGTTGGGCCATCAAAATAATTATGTAGGAAACTCAAATATGATTAGAGCTGCTACTCGTCCTCTTTCCTCAAACACTCTTCTTTTCTAGGACATCCGCGGACATTTAGAGGAATTTTCCAAAGGCATCCAAAATAATTATGTCCGAGGTTTCACGAAATCTTCTAAATAACTATAATTTAAAATTAAACCGATGAAAATAAATAAAAAAATAAATAAATTAGAATAAATAAACCTATTTCCGGTCAAAACGAATCTTAGTACTTAAATATTTCGATATGAATTTATATACATGTCCAATTCTGTAAATCACACAATGAAATCTTTTGTGTTACCTCCTCTCATGTTACCACAAGGAATGATTTTGATATTACAACAAACAATTTGAGCCCTACATCATTATTTTAATGATCCAATAATCAAATCCCTATTAAAAATTTTAGATAGGCAGTAAAACCATCTTTTCCATGCATGGATATTAGTCCTCATTTACAACAAGTCTAGTAGACGTAAGAAATTGGCCAATCACAGTCGAATGTGCGAAGAATAATATGATTAGTCACTTTCTTAAACGGTTTACTACATCTATTGTAGATCAAAACTTATTGTCTAAGTACTAATGAACAATTAGATGTGAAATAATTATTCATTTATGCAATTCAATTTTAATAATCAATTTTAACCTACACAAATTTTTATGCATCCGGACTGTAAACAAAATGTCCGACATTTTTAGACCTGTAAATTCTAGTTAAAAAATTTTGTGATATGACGATCCTAACTGCATAATACTGCAAAAAGTTTTGGCATTTTAGCAACTAGTTAGAGTGTTACTTATTTTGATAATTCAACAAAATTATTTTCACATCTGTATCTAGCTAAAATTTTTAGATCAGCAAGACGGACCTTCTTCTTTCCGCGTATGCTCTGTAAAACTTTAAGAGTGAATCTTATTCTGAAGAGTAAATTCTCACTCTTAAAGATTGAAAATCGAGCCATTCTTTTTCAAGACCGGCTCAATTTTCATTCTTTAGAGTAAGATCCCATTCCAAAGAATTTAGAGAGTACATAGCATATAAAGAGTACACAGGGAGTATTTCTATCGACGCACGTGCTTTCGGACGCGTGTAATTTCTACGTTACGAGTCCACGGCCAATAACGAACTACCATAAGTACGTCCGATGCCTCGACACACCTAATGCGCGCGTATATTCCACGATCCGGTATCGTTATAAAGGATGACTATTGTCCCGCGTGATTCTCGGTTTATCACCGTGTAACTTAATAGAGAGATAGAGAGAACATCCAAGTACCTATTGGTTAAGATGAACGTTTATACGATGCTTCGGCTGAGCTACCTCAGCTATACGACGAAACATTACCTTCCGAAAGCTCGCTCCGAAATAAATCGCAGTGAACTAAAATTTCCACCGCGACGCGCGCATTTAATGCTCTGCAATATCAAATTATTATCGAAGAAGAAAACGTGTAAGTTTTGGATAAGCTATGTGTGAGTATTTTATAGCACGTAATCTTGTACATTGAAATAATTATATCTTCTCCCCTCTATTGTTCTATCATATCAACTCCTATTAAATCATAATGTTTGAGCGACGACTCAAAGTAGTTGCGGGTCGGACATAGACAGACCGTGCAGGCCACAGGCTAGGCACCGTGCCGTTACGGGTGAGCAATATAGCGTGGCCAAGTATTCAACGAGATTTCATGAGAGCATTTCATGCATCTCGGCTCGTTACCGAAGGGACAAGCGGACCGACAAGACCATGAGAGGATGGACGCGGCGCGTGTCGGCCTCGGTGTTTTGTAGCCGGACCAGAAGAGGAAAGGAGAGATGGGGAGAACAGCAAACTCCCTTGTTCTCGGGAGGGTTAATGACCAAGGCCACGGGCTCGTAACAATGCATCCCGCGGCATTTCTGCGCGCTATTTTGCAAGTCTGCCGAGTATCGCTCGCTCCCAACGCGCCGTAAACCGACGCGGCACGAGAAGATTTCAGCGATGGAATGCACGCGCGAGCCACCGTTCGACCGACCTGACACCGCGTGATGTTGAGTTAAGGCCAACCTCTTCGTGATTACGCTTGCGGCAAGCGATTGGAAGATATACGTCTGAAAATGACGAATACATCGAAAGCTCTTTGGGCAAATGAAATTTTGAAATAGCAGGGCATGGACAGGAAATTAATAAAGATTATTAGTCGCTGAGGACTTCAAAAGTGAGTGGAAACGTTGAAAGAATTTCAAAGAAAAGTTTTGATGTTGTTAAAACGTTGATAATTTTTGCGCTTGTTTTGCCGTACTCTCATTAGCCTCAATTTCTTGTCATTTTCGAATCCGTAAGATTATAAAATTTTCAAAACACTGATAAATAATAATAAATAGAATGGAATCATCTGTTCGTAATTCACTAATTTAAATTTAAATTCTAAACACAGCATATTTAATTTCCTAGAACTGACGTCAAGAACTCTTTAACACAGATATTAACGGTAAGTTTGTAAGACTCATTTAATTCATGTTAATTAAAAGGCACTAATTAATCCTTCGTGTGCATCTGGGTCTTTTTGGTACAAACGAAATTTCATTCTCAAATTTCTCTGAAATAAAGGAGAGCAAAGTCCAATTTCTCCTCCTAAAATATCTTGTTCTAAAAGTTATTTTATTTGATAAAGTAATAGAGATATTGAAAAGTAACTGTAAAACTAACTGTACTTTTCCATATTTTTTGAAAGTCTAAGAGAGAACAGTAAAAAAAAACTTAAATTGAGCGAAGAGAGTAGAATACGATTGTAGAGAGAGGAATAATTTCAACGAACCAAAATGACGTAACTCATATAAAGAAAAATAAATATAATTTAATAAGAAATATATTTTAATAAGAATAATCCAAATTTGCAGATGTAACGTAAAAAATAATTGGTATTTCTTAAAAAGAAAAAAAAAGAAAGAAAGACAAACAAACGTAATTGAATGGATCCAATCTTCTCTGGAGGGTTAAGCTTTTAAAGAAATTACTGCACCACATAATTTGATCATAGATAATTAAAAAAACTTATGTATATATGTGAAACGTAGTTAAAACTTCCAAGCATCGAAAGATAGTTTACATGTTAAATTAATTCGAAATAAATCGTGCTAGAAATGAGAAGACAAAGTGTTGTACAATTACGGTCAGCAATTACGGAATTAAAAGATCAATTTAGTAAATAGACCTACGAGGAAATTTCTGGAGCGAGATTCTAAAGTAAATATCGCACTTATCAACGGTACGTTGGTTCTCCCTTGAGACTTCCTTAGGAAGGGATGAGACGGAGACTGTAGGACGATATTAATACGGGCTATGTACGTGACGCATGCCCCAATTCTCTAAAAGTCCATTAGAGGAATCACGAGAAGGACCAAGAGAGCTATCGTTCGGCCGAAATGCAGATGAACAGAATTACGACCATCGCGAAAGCGTGAATTTTACAAAATCCAACTAGAGCTCAAACTAAGAAATTAATTAATTAAATGAAAGGCGAACAAAGAACAATTCCAACTTTACGACGGTGGCATAAGCGGAAATAGCAAATAAAGTCGATAAAATTTAATGCGGATTAATAGGAAGCAGAGAAAAGCCGTAAAAATAAAATTCTTTTCGTTCTCTAAAATTTTCAAAAAGATTAAATTATGTCAAACATTGATAGTATTCCAACATTTAACATTAATCACGAATCGAGACTTACTACTACTACTACTCCCTAAATTCAGCCACTCAGTTACGGGAGAGAAACCCGATTACGCTCTCTCTCCAGTTGCCTCGAATCTCCGACCATAATCTTCAATTACCTTCCCGCACCGGGAGTGATCTGCACGTTATATCCAGAAAAAGAGTTTTCCCAACGATTAAGGATCTTCCTACCTCTGTGCCATCGAGAAGCACCATTGCTGGACCACTTCGGTCTTCCGCGCACGTTCCACGATGAGTTTTGAAATCCCACAGTAGTTGAGTTAAGACGGGAGAGCAACGAAGGAGGGTACAACATGCCGTGCTAGTGGTAGGTCCCAGAGGACGCAGTGTTCCATGTTGCCTCCCCGGATTTCGACTCGGAATGACTTCCAGTCAGATAGGCTGGAAAACGAAGAGCGGAACGTAGGTGGTCTAATCGCGTTTGCACGACCAATCCCACCCGGGCTCTGCTTTTCGTCCGGCAATGTTGGCAATCACGCGTTATTCGTTTAATTTTTAACCACGTGCCGTCCATCGCTGCGTGCCACTCTTGAAATTACATCGGGCACATCCTGCAGATGGCGGCTCTACACTGTTAGATATCAAAGGAGCTGTGTGCATCAATTCAACCCAATCCTTTGAGTTAAGTTTTGATATTTTTTGCTTCCACTTGTGTGTCAAAATGTAAATTAATCCTGTGTTAATTTCAAAGTAAACAATGTCTATATTAATGTATGCACTTAGTAAATAATAAATTTTGAGTAAAATTTAATAGTTTCTTGGGTTAATTTGTTTAACTTCACTGTTTTAGTTAAATTAACGACATACTGAATCGGAGGAGTAAGACTTATAGAAATGAATTAAAAGTAACTCGAATTAGGTATAATTTGACATTATGAATTTATTCGCGTAAATTCGGTTATTCGAATTACATTGAATCTCTACACATTGAAGCTCTAAATAAAGTATTTAAATGCAGTAGAATTTAACAGAACAAAGTTGATTATATTAATAATCAACTTTGTTCTGCTAAATAACGCGATAATGTTATTATTGGATATTTAAAATATTTATATGCTTTTACATTCAATTTTGATAATTTAAGCTTTAAGTGATTAAATTCTATTAGCATATGGTATGATGTGACGCTTTGAGAAGGATAAATGAATCGTCACGGCAAGTGAGTGTCGCAT